ACAAACTTATATTTGACTCTTAATGTTATAAAGTAAAATGAACCACGATCTGTTGGCCATTTTTTCTAATGTCAGCAGTATGTAAAAAAAAAAAGACATAAATTGATGCCTCCTAAAATCTGAAATGTTTTTCGCCAACCTGGTTCATCAGCTCGTGCATTAAATCTGGAGCGCATGACTCTCCCACACAAAGAATTTTCTGTGGCACATCTGACCTACACATCTCAGTCCAGAATCTTGTTTTCCAAATCCTCCTTTTACAGATGATTTGTTCTTTAGTTAGAGCAAGTCATCCCGGAGCACGCCCAGTAATTCAGATTTAACAAGTCTTAACTGGACTCTTTACGCATGACTGAAAAAGCCGTAAATGAGAGTAATTCTGCACAACCGCACTCAGTGTGCAACGTGAAATCATATCTGGAGCTTTTCATTTTCAGATGTCACGGTTATACACTCAAGATTTTCCGGCATCTCAAAACTGATCAAAGATAATCTAAACTTTGTATTTGCAAATTAAAGCAAAAACAGAGAAGAAATTAAGACATTTTTCTGGAATCGGATTACAGTTTGCTTTTGTTTGAGGTCTCCAAGTAAATGTTTCCTTTAGATCCAGCGGGGTGATCGGCCCTGGAATGTGATTAAAGCTGGACCTCCGTGATGGAGGCTGATAACGGGGGAGAACAGCGCGCGCTCTGTTTGACCAGAGCTGACCAGGGCTGGAGAAGAGAAGATAGGAAGGTGAGTGAGATGGAGAGAAATGAAGAGAGGAGACGAGGAGAGGAGAGGAGAGGAAGGGTCAAGGCGGGACAAATAAAACAGGGTGGCAAAGGGCGGAGGAGGGGACAAATAAAATGGAGGATTTGATAAATGAGAGATGAAGCTGGGAACAGGTGAGAAGATGAAGATTATGAGTAAGAGAAGTGTGGAAGTTAGGAAATAAGAGGATAAGAAACTGAAATTGAAACTGTGAAAGGAGGAAAAGGTGATAGAAAAGGAAAGGACGGAGACTGGTATGACAAGAATGGAGAGGAAACAAGAAAGGAAACAGTTTGTTTTGGGCGTGGAAACTAAAAGAAAGAGAAAAACGAATGTAAAAGAGCAAAAAAGGAAAAGAGAAATAACTTCAGAGCTGAAAGAAAGAGAGGGAAGGAAGAGGAAGATGGCTGAGAACAGACCGGACAACAGAGTGGACAGAGAAAGAGACACCAGCTGACAGGCTGACCGACGGAGGGACAATAAAAGAGTGCAGGTGGAGGAGAAGAGACAGAAAAAAAGACTGAGATCTGGCGGAGGGGGGGGGGGTTGAGGAGTGATGCGATGGCAATCTCCCCGCCGCCGGAACATCTGGTCCGGGTCTAGCCGCTGACCCCTGCCGGGTCCGGGCGGCTCTCTCAGTCCTGGGGAGGCGGCCCTGATGACCTGATGACCCCCCCCCCCCCCCCCCCGCCGGCGGCCGGGCTCAGCGCTGGCCAACAAAGACGGGCCTTGTCTGTAGCTGGACGGGGTCGACGTTAATAACCCCCCCACCCCCCCTTCTCCCTCTCTCCCGGGAATTCCTCCTGGATCCTCCCTGCTTTAACGCCTCACTAACCCATTAACCGAGTGGGATCCTACAGTTGTGTCACACTCCAAACACCCCCCCCCCTTTCAGTCTGTTTAATAGCCTCGGTGTGTTTATCCAGTACAGTAAGGGCAGGGGGGGGTGCACAGCTGGAACATGATTTAAACGGTCCCTCTTTTAAGGCCCGACATGCCTCAGGGATCAGATCAAGGGGCGTAAAAAAAAAATGTCTGGGAGACACACCGTGATCACGAGGGCCCTGAGAGCTGAAGGAATTCCGGATGGCGGCGGAGGGGAGGTCGCCGTGGCGACGGAGGTGGAGCTCGCCGTGGCGGGAGAGCGGCGGGCTCACGGACGTCAGCGGCTCCGGTTAAAAGTCACTCAGCTTGGGACCCTTTGGGAGAAAAGACAAAAAAAAACACACACCAAAAAAAAGGCAGCTTGGGCCTTGGTGCCCTCACATCACATGGACTTGTTTGTATACAGTAGTTTTTATCCCCGGCTGAGTGTGTGTGTGTAAGTCTGTGTGTGTGAGTGTGTGTGTGTGAGAGAGAGAGAGATGAGATGAATGTAATTAAAGTTGTTTAATTAGACGCTGTTCTTTTCTGGGAAGCCTGTGGCAGCTGGGTGGAGCCTGAGTGGAGACAGGAGGTTTGCGGTCTGGCTGATGGAACCACGCCGGCCGGGGTAATGGAAACCGGGTGCTCGCTCTAACACGCGCACACGCACGCACAAACACAGACAGAGCGCGCGCGAATCCGACTGCACAGCCCCCAAAGCTTGAACGCGAGGCCCGCCGCACATTTACGCAAAAAATGCGCATGACGTGCAACTCTAAAACAGCAAGGATGCGCGCGCACGCATGCATGGGTGAGCGAGCATGCACGCATGCGTGCGCGCGTGCTCACGCGCAGCCTGTTATTAACGCGAGAATGTGTCTGCGCACGCAGAACTCATTACTCTGACCCCGATGCACGCACACGTGCAGGAATGCGCGTCCTCCCCCCTCCCCCTCCTCCACACGCACAGCAAAAAGCAGTTAGTCGCACGCGCACGCACGCGCGCCACTGAGGTCCCCTGTCACGAGTTCTGACCCCCACTGAAAAATGAAACACGCACGTCTGCATTAACAGGGCGACGCACACCCCCAAGCTGCACGCGCACACTCACTGACAGAGACGGGGGGGGGGTGGGGGGGGTGGGGGGGGGGGGGGGGGGGCAGGAAATTCAGAAAGCAGATCACGGGATGTCCACTGAGCGTGAGGCCGGGCGCCTTCTCCACTGACACTGACGTCAGTTTCCAACCAAACTGTTTCACCCCCCCCCTAAATTACAGAGCAATGGGGGGGGGATTAGCTTGGGGGGCTGAGGCCAGAGCGTCACGTGCCCCCCCCCCCCCCCCCCCCCCCCC